GGGTTCAAGGAGACAGAAGCGGGGGGGCAAAAGGGGGGGGTAAGGGGGGGAACCCTGCAGGAAACACACAGCCAGGCAGACGAGCTCCAAGCCAGCTCCCATCTTTAAACAGTTATTTGATTCATACAATCATTGGTAATTTTACAGTATTAAAACATGGATGATGCGGTCTATAGAACACGCTCCCCCAGAGGCTCCACCCCATTAAATGCTTTCCCAAACCAGGTAGTGGGTAGGGCTAGTGGACCGTTCAGCCCTTAATTAGCTGGAATTTGGCAGCGTGTGTGACAGCAACCTAATGGTGGAGGAAACACCTGCTGTTATATAAAAGCTGCTCTGGTTTTCTGCATCTTCGTCACATTGGCAGAAAACTACAGTTTAATAAAAAAGCAGCAAAGATGTCAATAACGCCTAAAGGGTAGGTCCTCTTTAAAATAGATTTATCTGACAGTGTATCCTTACACAGATTGAGAAACAGCCCAAGAATATTATCCAACATGGATGCTTTAAACAAAATGGAGGGAAAGAAACTGTGTAGAATTCCACTGAAATAGACATTTTTCTATGATTTAAGTTCATTTTTAGTTTCAATAAATATGATTTCTCCTTTTGAGAAAAGTGTGCACCAATAATGGATTTAATGATATAATGAACATTGATCAATACTAAGTATTGAGACTATTTAGATATAATTATGTGGCTGTTTGGGGACATCAGCAGATAATCCAATGCATAATAATCAAATGCAAAAAATTTTCAATTAGTTGATTCCCTGTAGAAATCATAATTAGTTTTTTTTTATTTTGATAGTGAACCAGCTGATCCAGTTGATGAAAGCATTTACATGTGTTTCTTAAAAACAAAATAATTGATGTAAAAAAAAATATATATATATATAAAAGAACTTTTTTTTTCTGGCAGAGGGTGTGCTTGCAAATAATGCAACATGAACAGGGAAATCTGCCAAAGGTTTGGAAAGAAGCTGTGATCATACCAATACGTAAACCAGGAAAAGATGGCGCAAACCCAGGAAATTATAGGCCTATTGCTTTAATCTCAAATATTTGTTAAATAATGGAGAAAAATTATCAGTGACAGGCTGACATATTATTTGGAAAGGAATCAATGTATATCCAGATGGCAAAGTGGCTTCAGAAAAGGAAGGAATACCATGGATCCATCTTTGTGCCTAAAACATAAAATTAGAAAAGCCCAAATAAATAGAGAAAGTGTAGCGCATGTATTCTTTGATATTGATGATCAAACTGCTGAAGATGGATATTAAAGCTAGAATATATAGGTGGTTAAAAGATTTTTTAAGTGAAAGGAAAATACAGGTTAAAATAGGAAAGAGTTATTCTTCAAAATATCTTATTGAAAATGGAACACCTCAAAGATGCATATTAAGTCCATTACTTTTTTTATATAATGATTGATGATGTTTTTAAAGCTTTAGAAAATGGGTTTTGGGTGAGAGGTCGGAATACTGATTATATTGTGAAGAACTT